ACATCTTCCATTGGCCGGCGCTACTACCATTCGGCCAAATTTCACCCTGCAGCTGACACAATGATGTTTGAAAACTCGTGAAATGGCTTGAAATCACTGTAAATATTAGTAATTCATCGTTTTGCAGCGTCTATGTTGATATTTCATAGAAAATTTTGTAGAAATTCTCAAATAAATCTGTATGGCCGAATACTTTTTTTGCGCACAATTTCGACCTCTCGACAAACATGGCTACAGAAAAGGCAAAAATTATGTTAAATATTTCCGGAATCGGCCTGAATTTATAAGAACAGATTATAAACTTAACAAATAGATAGAAAATAGTTCGGTTTTTGTCATTTATAACACGAAAAAATCCAAAAATAAAAAAAAAATTCAAGTGGCCGAATACTTTTTTGACTGACTGTATATTCAACAACCATTCATAGCAGCATAGTGAAGTGGATTCCGCTCAAGTCTGTCCGTCGAATCAACACTGGCTCCGTTCTTGATGAGCTTTCTAACGGTCTCCAATTGACCTGAAATAAATCAATGATGAAGATTCAATCAATTTCTAATTTAGTGAACATGAATATCGATGGTTACCTTTCGCGCATTTATCGTTTACTTAAAATTGAAAAAAATACGGATTAATGAAGTGAAGCGAAAGAAAATACAACGAATTTATCATAAATTGAATTAAGTTCTAGTTGATTTAGCTAGGATTTTTTGCTGGATCATATCGAAAAGGCTGCTTACAAAAACGTTCAAAAATAAAACAGAATCGTCTTAAAAAAATGACAATTTTGTCTAAAGAAAATCGTCCCTTTTTTAACAAATTCGTCTTAAATAATTTGCTTTAAATGACAAAATCATCTAAAATCACAATTTTTTTCAATTTCTTCTTTATTAATAAAGAAATAAAGAAGAAAATAAAATTATTTACATCAGTCGTTTGCAAATGAAAAGATACTCTCCGGATTGGAAAGCCATCTTCAGTGTGTGTCTTATCAAATTCACTGGGTATGGTTTTGATCATATCACTTTTTGGAATCAAACTAAGCTCATATGCAATGTGTAGTGAAGATAAAATAAAAATTCGATTGAAAAAAAAAAAATCGGCAAAATGTGTGATTCTTAAAGTAAAAAATAAATAAGATATTGAAAAAATTGGGATTTTAGATGATTTTGTAATTTTTTCGAGAAAATGTGTATTCAGGCGATTTTGTCATTTTAAATATTTTGTTAATAGACGTTTTTGGTGGGTTTTAGACGTTTCTGTCAATTTTGCCAGAAAACTCGTATTTAGACGATTTTGTTATTTTAAAACTCGATTTTGTTAAGAAAAAATTGTCACATTTCTAGATGATTTTGTCATTTAAAAAAGGCTGCTTACAAAAACGTTCAAAAATAAAACAAAATCATCTAAAAATGTGAATTTTTTTTTTCTCAACAAAATCGTCTAAATACGAGTTTTCTGGCAAAATTGACAAAAACGTCTATTAACAAAATGTTTATTTAAAATGAAAAAATCAGATCCTCTCTCGATGAGCTCTTCAACAAAATCTTTTTCTTCTGAAAAAAATATCGATCAATCAAAAATTCAAAAGTTCAAATCAATTCATTATGGAACATGAACCATTCATAACAGCTAGAAGAAGAGGTGTCTTCTCAGATATGTCTATGGCAGTGAGATCGGATCCTCTCTTGATGAGCTCTTCAACGACATCATCACTACCTGAAAAACAATACAGATCAATGAAAAAGATCAAACCAATTTCTTATTTTATGAAAATATATATCCAACTTCACCCTTCATATCAGCTAAATGAATTGAAGGCATAAATATTCCAAATTACCATTCTCAGCAGCTAAATGAAGAGGTGTCCGCAGACGGCTGTCTCTGGGATCAACTTTAGCTCCATTGCTGATGAGCATATCAATGATATCCTTGCGACCTAAAAAATAGCACCGACCAATGAAAAAAATCGAACAAATTTCCTGAACGAAAATAATAGACAACATTACCATTCATAGCAGCATAATGGAGAGGTGTGCGTTTAAAAGCGTCTATAGCATCGTCTGTAGCATCAACTTTGGCTCCTTTCTTTACGAGCATTTCAACAACTTTTGTTTGACCTAAAAAATACAGATCAATGAGCAAGTTTTAATCAATTTCTTATTTTATGAAAATATATATCCAACTTCACCCTTCATAACAGCTAATAAATTGGAGGCATAAATATTCCAAATTACCATTCCCAGCAGCTAAATGAAGAGGTGTCCGCAGACGGCTGTCTCTGGGATCAACTTTAGCTCCATTGCTGATGAGCATATCAATGATATCCTTGTGACCTAAAAAATAGCACCGACCAATGAAAAAAATCGAACAAATTTCCTGAGTAAAAATAAATAGACAACATTACCATTCATAGCAGCATAATGGAGAGGTGTCTGATCATTTTCATCTTCAAAATCAACATTGGTTCCTCCTTTGATTAGCTTTTCAACGATGTCCTCATGACCTGAAAAATAGCACCGGCCAATGAAAAAAATCAAACAAATTTCCTAAGCGAAAATAAATAGACAACATTACCATTCATAGCAGCATAATGGAGAGGTGTGCGTTTAAAAGCGTCTATAGCATCGTCTGTAGCATTAACTTTGGCTCCTTTCTTTATGAGCATTTCAACAACTTTTGTTTGACCTAAAAAATACAGATCAATTAGCAAGTTTTAATCAATTTCTTATTTTATGAAAATATATATCCAACTTCACCCTTCATAACAGCTAATAAATTGGAGGCATAAATATTCCAAATTACCATTCTCAGCAGCTAAATGAAGAGGTGGCCGCAGACGGCTGTCTCTGGGATCAACTTTAGCTCCATTGCTGATGAGCATATCAATGATATCCTTGTGACCTAAAAAATAGCACCGACCAATGAAAAAAATCAAACAAATTTCCTAAGCGAAAATAAATAGACAACATTACCATTCATAGCAGCATAATGAAGAGGTGTCTTGTTATGGCAGTCTCCCAAATCAAGATTGGCTCCTTTCGCGATGATTTTTTCAACGACATCCTTGAGACCTGGAGAAAAACACCGATCAATGAAATTGGTCAAACTGATCTCCTCTTATAAGAGATAATTATTCATCGAAAATACACTTATCCAACATTACCCTTCATGGCAGCATAATGAAGAACTGTCCGCCCATGGCCATCTTTGATATCAACTTTGGCTCCTTTCATGATAAGCTTCTCAGCAACATCCTTATGTCCTGAAAAGTTAGTCCAGTCAATGAATTAGATCCAACTTGGAT